AGCAGGAATCACATGCTACTGAAACAGATTAAGGCAATGATGAAGTAATTTTTGCTTATGTTTGATCTTTGCACTAACTTACCTTTCCTCTGACCCCAAAGGATTGTCCTTCAGCCTCCCTACTTTTAAAACCATCCAAAGTCCTTGACTTAGGTTCTGAAGGAGAAGGTTTATGTCCTTTTTTGTTAATGTGACTTGAAACTCCTATTATCTGTAGAAGTAAAAGATCATTTTTCTTTCTTTTTTTTTTTCCCCCCTCCTACCAAACACTTGCCCTCAATTCCTCCTTTTGGTAATAAGTTTCAAAAATCAATTATGCACTGAATTTTAGCTTTTCTTTAATAGCTTTCTAGCTACCCTGAATAGAGTGTAATTATGTAGACTGCCATGTGCTATCAGACTCAAAATCAGTTGTAGTTAAATCTGCAAGACTGATGTTCTAGAGTTTGTAGTAGTTTGTGACAAACCAAATAGTCTTCTCTCTTCTCTGTTGGTTCCCGAAATACTTCATTTAATGTAAACTAACTGGCTATCAGAATCAGGGCAAGCTATGAAAAGATATCTCCTCAGAGATAAATAAAGTGTTTCTTGGAAGTTTCTTTATGCTGTTACAGCTTCTTATCGTGAAATCCTTGCATAGAGAGAACTAGATTAGAAGAGTAGATGATGCTTCAGCGGACGTGGTTTCAACGGCAGCATCATGTAAAGCCAAGGAACCGCACTGGCTGATGTGGTAGCTTCCCATCGGAGCAGAAAGCTGTGGAGGGCACCAGGGTTTTTTTGGCATTTTCTGGCTGTCAAGGAGCAGTGATGCTCATGGCTTTGGAAGATTAGCTTTTGTAGGGTTCCCTTCTTTTAGCCACAGGATATTTTTTTTTTTCCTCCTCCAGCCTGAGATCTGTAACTGTGAAGTCCTTGGCATTTCCTAGGGGGTAAAAAAAAAAAAAAATCTTTATTTCTGTAGTATTTGGGCTGTACTTCTCCCACTTGTGTGGTGAGTACAACTAGTGTTTGTGGAGCTGGGGTAGTGTATCTCTTGGATAGAGGGAAGAAGCAGCTCTTCAATAACTGCTAAAGCTTGAAAGTTGTTAGAGTTTAAGACCTTACGTTGATGAAATTATTTTGGAAGTCATTGTCCTGGATGGCTGAATATTGGTGTTATGGTCTAACAATTTTTTTTTCAAATTTAATTTAAATGAGTATTTTAGTTTCTACTTTACAGTAGTTTTGAATATAGGAGTGACTTGGATGCTCGGGCCTACACTCTTCAGACATGCTCAAATGATTCACAGCCTGTGTTTACAGTGTTGTCTTTTTGTGTACGTGGCTGCCCCAAATAAAATTTGAATTCTTGACGTAGTGTTGTAGGCTCCTATTGTCTTACTGGTGTTTTTACTTTTGCCTTTACAAATTACCCCATCAGAAGTATGGAAGCAACTTGTCCAAAGCTCAGGGAACATACTGGAGCAACTTTTTTTTTCTGCTTTAAGAAGGAGTCTTATGCTCAATATCCACATTAAAAAAACCACAAAACTAAGCAAAATAAACCTCAAACCAACAAAAGCACAAATAAGTAGCTTGTTTTCTTTCCCTTTCTTGCCCCTGTGAACTGGGCAGCTGTTGCTGCTGCGTTCTCTGCGTCACGTGTAGCTTCCTAGAGAGCAGTTTTTCTGGTTCAGAAGTAACATCCTGGTCCTTCCAAGCCCATAATGGTTTGAGGCCAGGATTCCTGAAATATGCATTGAATGACCAAACTTGATCTGCTGTTACTGAAATCAGTGGTCTCTAATGTCAGTATTTTTCTCTTATTCTCACCACAGTTATTGAAAGATGTTGTCTTTCAGAAGTGGTAGGGGTTTTTTTTGCAGACTGTCTCTGGAGGAAAGAAGGTTGTCTGCATGCTTAGAGGACTTCTAGAATAAAAAAACCCCACCTTTTTTGTTTGTTTTTTCTAATTCTAGTGTATTTTTCTAATTTTGAGTAACAAAGATGTCTGTTGGGCTGCTTCTAATGTATGCTGTTACTTTGCATAATCATTATACTAGTTTAATCTTGTAATAGCATTCTGAAACTTCGTGCCTTTTAATATATTACCTTTTGTAAAAATAGTGAAAATGTAGACGCAAAGCATTTTTCTTCAGATTTTAAAGCTGTTCAATAACATAACTGCTTTTTTGCCTGCTAGAAATCTGGTAACAATTTGTAATAAAGCAAACTGAATCTGTGATGAGCTAGCTAACTTTCTCATTTCATTTTGACTTCTCTAGAGAAGTTGGAGGTTGCACCACCATCTCCAGGACAACTGAGACATGGTAAAAGAAGAATGTTTGTTGAATGTGGTTCAGTACTTGTGTGGTCTGTCTTTGAACTGCTTCATCTTTCTCCTACAAGTGCTGCTCTGTCCTCATCCCTGTCGTATGGAGTAACAGAAAACCAAAGCAAGCACCGACAGTCATGCTGCCTTCTTCATTTCATAACACCTCAGCTGGAGAATGTGCACCGTTTAGAGAAAGTAGGACAGAAAGCCCAAATGAGACCATGCTTCTCAAAGCCGGCAGCAAATGTCGGTTTTGTAAGCTGAGCGGTGTTGATGCTGCAGTACCTTGTGGAGTTTTTTGTGCCTAAGCCTAAAAGTAGTGACTTGCTTCTCGTCACATACATTTTAAATAGACCAAGAAGTGGGATAAAATTGCAGAGAAATTGGAAATAAATTTGATATTCTTTATAATACTGTAGTTGTACAAATTCTGATGTAGTTTCCAAAGCAATGCATTTTTATGTTTTTAAACTGTCAGTGAGCGAACGTATTTAGCTGAACATTCTCCTATTTTAGGTATCTGCACTTATTTTTCCTTGGGTTTATGGTTGGTCCCTGGAGTTCTGTTTACTCCATGGATTCTAAAATTCTGTCAACTTCAGTAAGACTTTGAGCTCCTTTTGTAGCTCCAGTTTGGTGCATGCATTTTGAAAACACTAGGCACTTCTGTGTGCTTTTTTCTATTTTAAATTTTTTGGGGTTTTTGTCCTGCGGTGGTTTAAAAAAATAATAATAATTGGGAAAATTGCATACATTCTATGCTTTAGTATTTTCTTGTGCATTTAAGAAGGTATGTATGTTCTTTCAAAGTAGTTACAGAAATCCAGATGTGTTCTAGTACCTGAACATGAAACACCTCCTGAGTGTGGCTGTATTTTTCATATGATCATGCAAGACGTAAACCCAAAAGGGACTCCTACCAGTTTCCTTTCACATGACTGAGGTTCATGCACTCTTCTTTCTTCCCTTGTCTTATGTTTGCATCTCTAAGTTTATAAAATACGGGAATTATTGGTCCCATCTGAAGCAGGAATAGCTGATGTGTTTTAAATATTAAAAAAAAAGTTCTAATTGTCTGAGGTTTATTTTTAGTCAACTAGTCTGTCCTTGGTGCTGTATTTAGTTTTATGAAGCTGGCACCTTGAAACTCAGCTGGAGGCAATGCTGTGCAAGTTGAACCCCATCTCCATCAGAAGCTTACAAGCTAAAACCTGAGTGAGAAAATGGTGCAGGACAAAAAGGAGTGATACAGTAGCATTGTGCTTGTGATTAGAAATTATTCTGACCAGCAGGTTCCAATTTCCTGCAACAGAAAATATTTTCAGATAGGTTTTACTTGGAGTTTCAGGAATGAAAAGGAAAAATGTGTGCAAGGAAAGGTGGAACTTGTTTTCATAATGTATTGAAGGGCAGCTTTAAGCGTAACAGGCTTTCAGCATAGTGTGCAAACAAAAACCATCATTTATCATAGTGAGATAATTAATGGTGAATGACACACTACTGAAAACCACCTTAACATTTGTAGATTTAGCTGAAGGAGTTCTGATAACAATTGCGTAGTTCCTGGCAACACTTGAAATTTTAGGAACAGATAGAGAAGATGGAGCTCTTGCACAGGAATAGAGAGAGATGTGCAGAGAAAGGGGCTTTGATTTGGGCAAGAGAACGCAGGGAGTGTGGTGAGTCAGTCTGGCAGTCTTCAGTGATTCTGTGACATAGGCTGGAAGGCCTGTAAATAGTGCCAAAGTTTGTGTATTTTTAAGTATTTCTGTTAATGCGCTAGTAGGCATAAGTGGCTATATCCAAAATTGTACAAGTATTTACAGAGTTAGTTGTTTTAACTGGTTCCTTGCAAGCCACAAGTAACACTTGCATATAGCAAAGGGTTTTACCACCCTGATAGGAGTAGTAGGAAAGGGGTCTTGTGTATGTTGTCTGTGTTGTTCTTAAAGGCAGTGGTAGTCTGACATTTCAATAGTTCACGTGAACTGGTTAACTCTTATAAATATTTTTCTCTGTTACTTATTTCTTTTAGTGTTCTTCCACAATGCATTACCTTTTGTAGGGTTTGGATTTTTGGATAACGCTATTATGATTGCTGCGGTAAGTTCATTATTTAATTCCCTGATGAAGTCAGTGAGATTCATGTTGTTCAAGTACTGAATGATGGGATGAAAGCTTTTGACAGACTCTCTTGTGTCTATATCAACTCACTAACTTTTCTTTTAATTTTTCTTTTTTTTTAAAAAAATGGTCACGTTCTCGTAGATGGAAGAGAGTGTTGTTCCTTCTGAAAAAGCAGTATTGTAACTAATTTTACTGAATTGAGGAGCAGCTTGCTTTTTTTCCTCTCCTAATTTGTGCTGCAAGACACATCTATGATCGTGTAATCGCTACTTTTTTTTTTTTGTACTGCTGATGATAATGTGATTATACTATGTTGATGAATAGATCTTCAGGGTTTTTACTGCTGTATTCCTTTGTTCTGAGTAGTGCAGGCAGTGTTAGTGCTGATGCTGATTTGTGCTGATGTAGCCTGACGTTTCCGAGTAATGCTCTTGAAAGATTTTTTCCTGTTCATTTGGAATATGGGCCAGTGGAACAGAAAGATGGTTGAAGGCCAGAGATCCTGTTCCTCGCGTAGAGTTACCATTGACAACGTGATCTTAATCATGGGATAATTCAAGTGGGAAGAGACCACAGAACTCATTAGGTCTCTAGTCTTGCTCCTGCTTGGGACCTTCTCAGGGTCTATCCTGCTCAGGGCAGGGGCAGCTGTAAGATGAAAGTTGTTTATGGCTTTATCCTATGGGTCTTGAGAAGATGCGAGAGCAGAGACTGCACAGCCTGTCCGAGCAACTGCTTCCAGTGGTGACTGTCCTCACAGTGGAAAACGTTTTCCTCTATCCAACCAGAATATGTTTTATTTTAATTCATGCATATTCTCTCACCTTTGGACCATGCACTGCTGTTTCATCTTGAGGTTCCCTGTGATTTTGTTTCTTCAACTGAAAAAAGTAGGGAGCGCTACGATGCTGCTTCATTTGATTGCTTGGTATTTGTGAAAATTTGCATTCAGAGTTGTGAATCCAGCTGAGAATTACAGTGGGGGAAAATGGTATTTGAGTTTTGTCCATTAGGTGGCCATTATGAAACCCTATAAAATATTAAAACAGTATCAGAAGTAGACTCTTGTCTTAGGGCAAGATATGTATGCTCGAAGGGTAGGAGCTGGGCAGATCTGGTAGAAGTAATGTCCACTTATCCTTTCAATCTTAACATAAAGAAGCAGTAAGCAGTAATTTTCCTGGTTGAATCAATATAATCTATTTTAACTCCAAATGCTGCAAATAAGGAGTAAACTCTTATTTTTCAGGGAACCCAAATAGAGCTGTCAATTGGAGTTGTCCTAGGAATTTCAACTATGGCAGGCAAGTAATAAAAGTGCAATATGTATGGACTAATATGACACACTCCTGTAGCTCAGGTTGAAAGTGGGCCACAGGGCTGGAAACAGCTCTTCCTTGGTCTTGCATCTTGCTTTCCTAATAAAGAAACAGCCTGGGAAGCAAGGATGTATTCCATTTGCAGAAATGGAATTTCAATTCAAATAGCTTTTGAAATGCTTTGTTGTCGGTTTTAATCTTAAGAGTTCAAATCCTGGGTCGCTTAGAAAAACATATTTACATTTCTGTAGTGGAACTCCTCTAAATCCCCTAGGGCCTCGGTGTGTGTATATGTGTTTGTAGGTTGCTGTTTGCTTGCAGTGCTAAGTGAAGAGCAGTGTTGGTGTCCTTTCACTGTGTTGGCTGCCGTTCTTGGTGGCTTCTCTGCCTGCGTGCGATACCACGGGAAGGCCGAGCAGCCACTCTGCTCCTGCACTGGGACAAAACTGATAAGCTCTGCTCAACAGCTTCAGGGCCTCTGCAATGTCAGAGGAAAAAAACAAACAAACCACAAACCCAAACAGCTGCTCCTGGATCCACCAACCACAGGTGCAGTGTTGCTCAAAAGCATGTAGATAGCTTAAATGAAAATGTATGTAGCAGAGCAAGTAGATTGGGTGGAAATTTGCAGCCGTCTGCTGCAATGCAAGACAATCACAAGAAAGCTTATCTCAGTAAGATTGTCTGTGAAATCACATATTTTAAGTGTGTAATTTATTCAGTCATACATGCAGTATTTCTTTCTAATCTGACATGGTTCGTGGATATGTTGAAATGTTGATCAAAACTACATATGTGAGTAATAATTCCTGTTTCCAGTGCTTCAGTGCCACTTCAGGCACTGGAAGCCCTTGTTTGGTGTCCAGCGTTAGCTCTGTGATACGGGCAACCACACGTGGCCGTTTCTAACTCTGATCTGAAACGTGAATTTCCAAGTGTCAGTGTTGTCTTTGTGTATTTGTCAAGTTTTCTTTGTGTAAGTTGAGAAAAATAATTGAACTTCTTATTTTTCTTAGTCCGCTGCTACTGTTATTACAAACCATAATAAGGTCAGAAGAAAAAACTCTAGAATAAAAGAAACTTCTAGTCTTTTATGCTATGCTGAGAAGAGTGTGAGTGATTGGGTGGCTTTGTAATAAAAATAATATTTTGGCCTTCTCTCGTCCTTTCTCCAGCTGCAGCTTTGGGAAACCTTGTTTCAGATTTAGCTGGACTGGGGTATGTCTGAACTTGTATTAAATTTTTTTTATTATTTCTTTTTCCTCTCTTGAAAACAGTTAATGCTACTGAACTAAAACGTATAAACTGCTGAAGTTGCTTTTAATTTTATTTCCTAGCTCTTGAATTTTGCTCCAGTAAACTGCGAAACTGTAGAAACGCATTCTGTCCTTCTTAAGAAAAAGGTGGAATGTAAAGTGGTTCTTGTCAAGGCTAAAACTGCAATGCCACAGTTCTGAAACAGAGTGACTCTTCTGCTATTGCAGTATTTTATATTTTAGGTGCTAAAATTGGGATTGGCATTTAACCTGATTCCGTTTACTCTGTAGGAACATTTACTACAAAAACTGCATTCCTAAAAATACAAAACAGAAAAATACATTTCCTGTTGATATATATTGCTGTGACAGAATACACATAATACACCTCCTCAGACTGTTAGGCCTAAATCTGAAGACATTTCCTTCTCCTCAGATAAAACAATTACATATCTGAAATGACTTCAGATCTAGACATACTTATTTCTGATATAAACAGATGCATCTGACTTTTAATGGAAATTTCTGGGTGCTGAAAGTAAAGCTTTCTGTTATGCCTCTCTTTCTCATTCCCCCTCTAACTTTTTTTTCTGCAAACAGCAAGGCTTATTAATATTTTGTATATGTGTAACCTGTCCTTAAGTAAAGGTTTACTTATAAGCTCTGCAAAATCACAATAACATTCACACCAGTTGTGACTTACTATATAAAAGTTTTTCTGGAAATATTGCATATTAAGGAGATGAGAAAATTAGTTAACCTACACTGCAAAACGTGACTGTCAGAAGTCTGAGCACTTTCCCATATTTACCTCTGGATGGCTTTATTGGAATGCTGAAGGAAAAGCTGTTGGTTTTGACTTCAATAATTCAAATATTTCAAAATCCTCACTAGAAGATACAGTCAGATCCAGAATTATTTATTCTTGTTTTCTTGTTTTTCCAGTCTTGCAGGTTATGTAGAAGCTTTAGCTTCACGACTGGGTCTGTCAATCCCTGATCTGACACCCAAACAAGCTGATATGTGGCAAACGCGTCTCAGTGCACACTTGGTGAGTAGCCTGGAGGTAGACATGTTGGCATGGAGCTTTTTTTTTGTTTAAACTAATACGTGATAAAACCTTTTTGTCACTTTTACTGTTGAATGCTTAATGGCCAAAAGCATTTTGCACATTTCCTGGAAGGTTTAGCTGTGGGCCTGTCACAGAGCATCGTGAGACTGGATTGTTTTGGGCTTGAGTGGTGATTTGTAGGCACCAAGACTTCACATGTGTTATGCAGATACGTGGGTTGAGCTCTGGCTGCTGCAATAAGAATTGATTTGAAAGTTAAGACTCCTCAGTAGTTTACTCCCATACATTCTTTGTTAAATGCTTGCTATTCATATACCTGTGCTATTCGTACACCTGTGTGTATTAATTTCTAATATTCTATAATTATTCTGGATATGAAACTAGCTTTCTCTTGGGTAAGCTTTCAGCACTTGAATAATATTCACTGCCTGGGTTTACAGTAACGGGACTCTCGTCTTGCAGATTCATTTTCAGGATGATTACTTAATTAAGATTTAAACACTTGGAGCAGTCCCACTTCAGCAATGCGAGTGTTAGTTTATTGTGGTTAAAGAAACTGATTATAAGAAACTGAGTAAAGAGACAGATGTATTTCACTTTTCCAGAGTGAATCTCCATGGGGAAAAAATTTTGGCAGATTTAAGGGAGGAGAAATAACACTTACTGAGAAAAAGAATATGGGTGGAAAAAAGTCTTTTAGCAGTGATGGATCCAAGCATGGAGCTGGGAGGAGCTGGCGGGCTGTCAGTGGGCTGCCCTCTAGTCTGTCCAGTGTGAGAGTCTTCTCTGTGGAAGCTGAGTCTGTGGCAAAAGCCTGTCATTGCACTGTCGTTAGTTCCCAGCACTTTTCTGTGAAAAGACTTCTGAGCATCTTTGCCTGTATGCTAGTGTTTTTTCTTTTTTTACTTGCTGTCTCAAGTTTCTCAACACTATCCACCCACTACTCATGATGTGGCTTGAATGTTTTCTGTCTTCTTTCCTCTCCTCTTGACTTTTACATCCAGGTCCACTGTGAAATGTTTTTCTACCTCCTTTTTTTTTTTTTTTCTTCACCTTACGCCTTTGAAAGCCATCATATTTGCAAGGAATTCCTCATTTCTAACTTTGATAATTTGCATTGCCAGATGCAGGCAAATACATTAAATACATTTATAATTGCACTTAAAATATCTGTGAATTGGGTTTTTTCGTGTTTGTTTTCCTTCTCTGTCTTCCTGGCCGTCCTACTAGTCCTTTGAATCCCTGTCTCCTCCCTTACCACCCATGCAGCTCTTCATTCCCCTCCTCTTTATTCATAATTGCCTTTTTTTGCACAGCATACTTTCTAACCTTGTCATCTCTGTCTCACTCTCATAGATTCTGTTTGTAGTCTGCATGCTAAGAAAAATGTGACTCCCAACTGAAAATTAGAACAGAGTCTGTTTCCCGGGTTGTGTTGGTACTACACAGCAAGTGAGTAACAGCTGATCAGTGAGAAATTTAATTTTTTCCCCTTTTTCTAGGGCAAAGCTATTGGAGTGACCATTGGCTGCATTTTAGGAATGTTTCCTTTATTGTTCTTTGGCGATGAGGAAGAAAAACTGGAAGAAAAAAATTAACCTTTTTACAAGATGTATACAGATGTAAACTACTGTACCTCAGTTATTCAATTACGCTGTCAATATTTAGGAATTAACAGACAGTAAAAATGTATAGACTCGGGAACAAAACCTTCAGCATGTCATTTTATGGAAACACTAATTTATTGTGGCTTTGTGTTCGGTACTTCTTTTTATAAAGTATCATCTAACTTTTTATTTAATTGTAAATTTTTGAAGTGTTTTCACTTACGGCAACTGATGTTTACCACTTTCCCCTTTGACCTTATTCTTTAATGGATTATTACTTTAATAATCCACCACGGATGGCAGTATCACTCTTGAGTTTCATATTGGTTGTTTGACAGTTGTAATTGCATGACAAAACTCGTTGTTCATCAGGTCCTTCAATGCAGATTATTAAGGAGGTGGGTGATAGTCCCTCACTTTGCAAGGTGACTGGTCACCACCTCACCAGCCATCAGTTTGCTCTGCCTTTAGTGTAGGTATTTCAGTGATCCACTACAGTCTAGTTTGCGGAGGTTTTTTTCACATTTCTGATTAAGTGTCCTTGATTTTTCTGCTGAGATGATCATGTTAATTCTTTGACAAGGTAAGTGTTTCCACTTCAGGATCTTTACCAAGTCCATTTTTTACTGGTGTTTAACACCTATACTTCCATATTCATGCCTTTTTTTTCCCCCCCTTAGTAAACAGTATTTTGAGAGTTGGATTGAGATACCCCTAAATTTCTATTCCTGAATTTTAAGAGTAGTATTCAAGAATTCAGACCAACTGTTTCAAAACCACAAACAACTTTTTTATTGTTCTGCTTAAAATAAGGTGTGGATAACTTCAGGGTGTGAATGAGTGCTGAAAGTTTGTAATGAGTGGTTCAGTTGAAACAAAGTGTACTATCAGTCTGGATTAGAGGACCTGATTTGCAGATTATAATTTTGTATTTGAGATTAAGACTTTACTGCTTTTTTTTTTTTGCTGTGAGACAATTAGTAAAAAAATACAACAAACCAAACAACAAAAAAAGGAAACTTGAGGCCTTTTTCCTTTTTTGCGTTTTATTTTTGCAGTCTTACTTGGTGTATTATAGATCTGACACTGCAGTCACACACATAACTGTTTTCTTTTTTTGTTTATATATGATCATGAATAAATGGATTATGACTATTGAATATTCAGGATCTGACTTGCCAGTAGTGTAATGCTAAACTGATGACTGTTGATTAGGGGAGAGGGTTTCTTACCTGTTTGAATACCATTCAGAAAAGATACTAAAAAGATAGGCACAGCCAGGGCACTTCGAAAGTTTTCTTGCTGGAATTGTTTGCACTTCTGAAACCTAGAAAGAAATGTTTAAAATAAATAAACAATTACGTTCCCTGATGACTTTTATTTGCTATAGGAAAAGTCTTATTTTAACATACACATTTTACAGAGCTCATTGCTTTATGTCTTGGTCATAAATCTCACTTCTGTGTTCTCATTTCTAGAAGCCCTTTAACAGAGTACTGAAACTTTGACATCAACCTTTAATGAAGGTGACAGTGTTGTATCTTTTTTTGCAAAGCACAATTTGAAAACTTTCAGCGAGTAGTCCTAGTACCATGTACTGTACTTTATACATTAAACCGTGAGAATCTGGACCAAACTGCAAAACTGAAAGAAATCTCAGCCAAACGTAGAAAACAAGTGCAAAGAAAATGTGGCTTGCATTTTCAAAGTTGGAAGCTTTATAAGAAAACCCACCAAAAAACAACAAACAAATAACAAAAATCCCCACCAACTGCATACATACAAAAGAGAAAAAAAAACAAACAAAAAAACCACAGGAAACAATCCTTCTAGAAAATTGTGGACTCTCATCCCAACAGATTGCTGCTGGCTTACAGTACTTCAGTGAACAGGATTTTTTAGTCATCCACGCATTTGTCTTGCCTTAATCTCTAACTTTCCTTCCTCTGCATGTAGTTTTGTTTCTGGTATCTTTCTATACAAAGCTGTATGTATTTACCATGGTGTTTTTTTTTAAACTGATGTACGCCTCCAAACACTTTTGCATAGCTTTTTTGTAGCTGCTTTTACAGAAGTTTCAACACTCTTCTGTGTTATGATACTGACATCTTTATTGGAATCTTCCAGCAGTGGCCAAACCTCTCTTCTTTGCTGTTGTACCAACTGGAACACTGTTTTCATCACTTTTTTTTAGAGCTCACACGAGCAATTGGCAGCCTGTGTCAGCTGTCATAGTAGTATTCTTTTTATAATGGCAATAGGAAAGACTGTCTACTAATGTTAAATAGCTTGTGCATGTAAACTGAGTACATTTTGTTGTTGTATGTCAAACTATTGTACTGCAACCAATGCTTTTATCGAAAAGTAATGAACTAAAATATCTTCAAAGAAATTAAGCATGTGTCGTCTTGTTAAACTATTTAGCTGACCACACAAATGTGGAGGGCAAGTGACACATGATGAGAATTCTTGGGTGTTTCAGACTGTTGTCTGATGCTGTAATCAAGAAAGTGGCTTCTGAGGTTTCAATATTTGACAAACGTGAAGAAATATTATTTGTGATTTGAGGGGAATAGTAGCTCTGCTGGAGGCCGAGAGAAAGTGCTTGTTGGGGCTGAGCTGCCACCCCAAATACAGCTGGGGGCAGCTTGCTCTTTGCCTGCAGGATCCGCTCATGTGTGGATGTGGTGTTGGTTCATGAAGAAGGGAAGATCTATGCCTGATCTGTTCCCTGCCCCCTCAGGAGGAGGGTGAGTTTTCCTGGGGTCTATGGATGAAATGTAATCCGTGATGCTCTGATCATGATTTTGACTAAGGTGGAGCACTAACAAAGCACTCCTTGTTGTTTTCGGTTGTCTTCTCCCTCCTTGATAAAAGGAAAAAACCAAATGCCACAGGCTTATTCAGAGACTTCAGTATTGCTCCATTTTTTTTTCATTCTATCAGTTTGTCCTGTGTTCACAGGAATTTTTCACATTAAAGGGCTGGTAGACCTGAAATTGTGTTTATTTTTAAATGCTGTCTTTTATTGTAACTTAAAATCTAACTGTATTTTTGACTGTATGTTATCTCTAGGGATGATGAACATTCATCTGATAATATGACTTACCTAAATCTTCTCGACAATGTTTTCTCATTCATGTACTTTTACATAAATTATTTGAATTCAGACAACATGTTTTGTATGGTCTTTAATTAAATTGTCAAACTTTCTCTAAACTTTTGTACTACAGCAAGGCTGTTCTGTGTTTCTTTATTAGACTAGATGCTGGAGGGGAAATATTATTAATATCCTGTAGGTATACAGCCTCAGTTATACAGAACAGGTACTTATTATTTAAGTCATAGGCAGGTGGTCCTTTGTCAGAGAAGGTACTGCCGCAGAGTGGTTCTTCTGGGTCTTCATGCTCAGAAGAGAATGATTTAAACAATTAAAATGTTTACATGGTAAATTGGTGGTGTTCATGATTAATAATCAGAATCCACTTGCGCTTGAACTTCTGGAATTAACTGAGGGTTTGTACGCAAACTAAGCCTTTCTGAACTTTCCTGTCCTGGACTTTGGAGCTCTTTCTTTTCACTCCTTGATGTTCTGGTCAGTCACTTTTGTGGACGTCTGTGCATAAAGAAGTGCTGGGATTAAAACATCTGTGCTGAAAGGATGGTCTCATTTTGACAACTTGTATAGTTTGGCTGTTGTTTTACTCCATTCTGATTGATTGCATCATGCAGTAGAACTCTTTGTTAATGTTATTCAGAGAGCCCATTGCACTTCTAGCGAACAGGTTTTCCTATTCGCTAATGTTTTACATGGCCTAGTGACAAGCTGACAGAGTGGTGGTATGTAAGCTAAAGACCTTAATAAAGCACTGAGGAATTACCATCCTGCTCTGGGACTCTTATGCCTTGGAAATTTTTTAACCTAACATTTTAACAATATAACTAGAGCTACTCCAGGTTGCAGTTAATGCTCTCATACCATAAATTCAAGCTCTTATTTTGAAGTCTTTAAGACTTTTACCTTTATCTCAGTGTTCAAGACCTTTGGCATCCAGAGAGTTTCTTCAAAATAGGATTGAGGTGCGGAGATGGAGAGTTTTGAGCAAACTTGGAATTTAAAAGCCAGCCAAGGTAGGATTTGTTTTGTTTTGGAAAACTACCTCCCCCAACCAAAACAAACCCCATGTTCTCAAGAGACCTGTGTTTCCCCATCCCTGTTTCCCCCAAGAGATTGTAGACACCAGGATGTGAGCAGCGCAGTCTTTGAGGCTCAGGTACGTGGTTTAGAATAGTGACCTTGGGCAGCAACAGGGAGTGTGAAGTCCTGATGTAGTACCTCTCCTGTAAGTAGGTGATGCCAAGATAGGGCCTTATGCAGCAGCGTGAAGAGAACTGGCAACAGTTTTTATTGAACAGTCAGTCCATAGGTGTCCTAAGCAACTGGCTTAAGTAATGGTACAGCTGTGGATGCTACTCCGTGATCTCATGAGTCGCTCCTTCTGTGTGCGTGCAAAGACTAAGTTGCTGTGAAATACAGAATTATTTGAGGCTTTAAACCTGACACTTTTTGTGTCCATTTTCTGTCCTGTTCTTGATACTTTGCTTATAAAAGTGTCTTATTTATATATCTTTGATTATGAAAAGGGCTTTATGCTTGAGGGTCGAGGGAAGTTATCCTTCTCCTCTACTCTGAGCTGATGAGGCCTCACCAGGAGTCTTGTGTCCAGTTCTGGACTCCCCAATTCAAGAAAAACAAGGAACTACTGGAGGGAGTCCAGCGTGGGGCCACTAAGATAAGAGGACTGGAGCATCTCCCATACGAGGAAAGGCTAAGAGAGCTGGAGCTGTTTAGCTTGGAGAAGAGGAGGCTGAGGGATGGTCTCATTGATGTTTAAAAATATCTGAAGGGTGGGTGTCAGGAAGATGGGGCCAGACTTCTCAGTGGTGTCTAGTGACGGGACGAGGGGCAGTGGTCACAAACTGGAAAACAAGAGGTTCAAGCTAAACATAAGGAAATGCTTCTTTACTGTGAGGGTGACAGAGCACTGAAACAGACTGCTCAGAGAGATTGTGAAGTCTTCATCTCGGGAGACTTTAAAAACCCACCTGAACGTGTTCCTGTGTGACCTACTGTAGTGGTCCTGCTCTGGCAGGGGGGCTGGACTAGTTGATCTTTTGAGGTCCCTTCCAACCCCTGACATTCTGTGATTTTTGCCTAGAGGGCTCAAGCCCTTCCAAACCTGTAATAATTGATATTATCTATTGGTAAGTAGGTTATTTCTCAGTGGATTATGAAGTGTACTGAATAGGACTATTTGCTGGTTAGAAAACACGTATCCAAAGAAGGAGAATCGCCACAATGGGCCTATAGGTGCCATTGCTGTTGGGAAGAGGTTG